GGGAGAGGGTCAATAGCCACATCAAGAAATGGCCAATTACACATTTAAAGATGGGAATTATATTTGACTGTAGTGCCCTGTGTAGCATGGAAAAAGTGACTGTTTTTTTCAAATGCCACAAATGACATGTAAATCAGAGACTCTGATATACACGTATATCATTTCCATGTCTGTTGATCTCTCTTTTTCCATTCCTTAACTCTCAGTCTTTCATGTCTATGTATTTTGGATGGCCCTTGTAAAAAGTATTTATCTTAAGTTTTTATACAGAGCCACCCTCATAATCTTTGTCTTTCAAAAGAGGAGTTTAGTTTATTTAAATTTACCATAACAATTATCTATTTAAATTTATTACTATGATGTTATTCTGTACTTTCTCTTTAACCTGGCTTTTCAATGTTTCTTTTAATTTTTTTCTTGCCTACTTTTACACTGATCATTTCTCTCACTCAGATTTTTCTCTCTACACTCTATCACATTTCTTTTTTATATTTTTTACTCTAGAAATTTAACATGCATACTTAATTTTTCAAAGCCCTAATTTTATTGATAACTTTATGCTTCTTCTTATCATGACTCACCATATTTATATACAGTATTTTCATTTTACACTGTTTTATTTTAACCCTGCTAAAAAAATTTTTGTTTTACACTATCAATATTTATTTATTTAGTTACCAATTATTATTGTCAATTATAATTTCATCTTATAACTCAACCTTTGATTTGAGATAACTTCTGTCTCCTTGAAGATCGTAATTTCCTGTAATAAGGATCTCTTTGTTAACTTGAATTTTCTTTGAAGATAACTTTATTTAGCATTTATTGTTGAAAGATATTTTATTGGTTATAAACTTCTGTGTTGACAAGCATTTTCCCTAAGCATATGAAAAATGTCATCCCACTGTCCTCTGGCTATCATTGTTGCTATTCAGAAGTCAGCTGAGTGACTTAATAGTATTCTTTTGTAGATAATTTTTTTCCTCTGGCTGTTTTAAATATACTTTCTGAGCCTTTAATGTTCTGCAATTTTACTATAATGTGAATTTTACTCCAGTTTTGGCAGTATGGGTCTAGGTATGGATTTATTTTCATTTATCCTGTTTGAAATTAATTAGACTTCTTGAATGCTATGATTATTGTCTTAAGTTCTTGAAAATTTCCAGCCAAAATTTCTTTAAACATTTCTTTCCTCACTCTCCTTTTTCTCCTTCTCTGACCAAATATTTGTTATATCTCACTCTATCCATGTCTTTTCTCCTCCTATTTATGTTTTTTCATCTTTTAGTTTCTCTATGCTGCTTCAGCTATATAGTCTAGTTTAATTCTCTCCTCAGCTATGTCTAATGTGCTATAATCTTTATTGCAAATGTTATTTTCCACTTTTAAACATTTCTTAGGTTCTTTTTGAAATTTGCTTGGTGATTTTTATAGTCTTTTCATAATTAATAGCCTCCCTTATTTAAGCTTATTTTAGTTAATTAGATTGTTGTTCATGAAATATTCATTCTCCTCTTTCTCCAAACATGCAGGAGTTTTCTCCTTTGCACCATTGATGTTAGAGTTGGCAATGACTTGCTTTTCCAATGAAATATGAACAGACATGACATATGCTGTGTATGAGCACAGTTTTAAATGTGCTTGCATTACTTGGCTTGGTCTCTTGCACTACTACAACCCACCATAAGAAAAGCATGCCCCATGTAGCTGCTGTGCCTTTTACCTGAGTCCTAAAATAAAAAGCACATGGAACAGATCTAAAGCCAACCTTCAACTTGAATTGAAGCTCAGAAAAAACCATCAGCTCCCATAAAAAAAGAAGAAAAACCATAATTTACCTACTAATCCCTCGCAAAATATAGTACTTCTTATTTTGACCAGCCACTGAATTTTGTTAGACACTTACAGAAAGCAGATTTATGCTTATCTGTTTGTTTTATATTCTCCCTAATAATTGTAATATCTGAAGTGTTTTAGATTCAGTCTGATTATTTTATCTGTAGTTTCTGCCAGTTGTCATGGTGTTCATTTGCTTCAGTATTTTTAAATTTTTAACCGGGAATTTATATTCCTTGAAACTAGATATTTATTGAGCCTAGTTCAAGGACTTCTGCAAAGAGTTGCGACATTTTTCTCTGCCAACGTTTTCGGATACTACAAATCTAGGACACTTTCAACTTAGTTATCAAATTGAGAGGTTGTTATTGTTTGTTTGTTTTCTTTCCTTTTCTGTTTAGCATCTCAGGTGGTGTCAATTTTGGCTACACATTTCAATCATGGCTATTTTTTAGTTAAAATTCTTAGGTTAGATAGCTTTTTTCTCTGACAAACACAAAAGATTAAGACACTTTCTCTTGCTATCTTCTCAGAATTAGGAAGTTTAGACTTCATCAAAGGATTTACTGTGAGGCATTCTCAGTTTTAAGAAGGGAAAAGTCCTCATATTAGGCTTGATCTCTTGTCCATGACACTGTCAAAGCCATGTAAGTTAAGGTTACCAGTGTTCACCAATCACCTTCAGAGGAAAACCTGTAAGCAGAGCTACACTAATCTTTCTAAGTTTCTATTTTCATATCAATTTTCACCTCCTTCCTTTCTTGATAGCTAATTAAAAGACTCACATAAAACCTGCAGCTTCTAGTTATTTTCAGCAAAAGGGTCAATTGGGTTATCTAATCTGCCATATAACTAAAATTGGACTTTCCCATGTGCATTGTCTTTTATACATTTGTTGAAATATCTCATATTCAAACGGCCTCATTTCTATTCTTTGTGTTCAATTGTTCATGCAACTAATGTTTATTAAGTACCCCCAAGGAATGGGGTACCTTTTAGGTTCTAGAGATACATAAGCAAACAATGCAGAAAAAATTAGTACGATCTTTTTTTGTTTTGTTTTCTAATTCTGTACTATAATTTTATAAAATCCAAGAAAGAAAAGGGAAATAAGCATGAGTGACCAGTAAGTGACTGTCAACTAGAAATTCCCCAAAATACTATTCAGTTTCTACCTCTTTTATTGAGTTTAATACATCCTGTTTGGTAGTCACATTACTTATGTACTTGTTAAATACACATGAAATAATTTTTTATACAAATGAAAATACTTTATTACCTTTGATTAACTAAGAAAATGTTAGGTATCATTAATATTTCAGTTGCTACTAAATTATAAAAGAGGAGTATATCAAAAAGCATATCAAAATTATCATATGAAACAGCACTTTTCATTTAGCAAATATCAAAGAATATTTAATTAAAAGACACCATTGACAAGGTGAGATAAGGCAGAAACATCTGAAAATCCATCATATATTAGAACTGGAAGGGAACAGAGCAGAGGCTGAACAAAACACCCTCAGTTTATAGACAGATCAAATGCCAAGACCAGAGAGGGGAAATTATTTAACCAAGGTCTTATAGCTATTTAATAACACAGTTGGGGCTAATATTTATTTTAGCATATGAAAATACGATAGAGTTTTTAAATGCTGACTTAGTTATCCTGCTAAAATATTTTATTATTTCTATATTTTGCTTCTAAAGTGCTTTTGAATTTTCAAAGTAGATGATCAGATCATCTGCAAATATTGTAGTTTTACTTCTCAATTTCCAGTCTTTGTGATCTTACATTTTCCTTTATGGGTTACACTACCTGGAATTTGAATGCAAATTCCTTAACTAAGGAATACTAAGTTGATTTTTAGTACTATCAATTTTCAATGTTTCAACTGGTATTAATACTATTATAACAGGAAACACCTATCCTGTAGTTACTATGTTCCAGGCACTATTCTTTGTCCTCACAACAACGCTATCACTCTCTCCATTTTACAGGGAAGGAAATTGAGGGGGTGCAATAATTTAATTGACTTCTTTAAGGTTATACAGTTAGTAAAGCCAGAGACAGAATTGAATACTGGCATTTTGGACTCGAAGTATATATTCTTGATCTTTATCTTCACTAGATGTAACCACTTTATTCTAAATTTTGAGAGGCCAAAAAAACATATCAAGCCATATATTTTATCATACCACATAACCTTTTATATTATCTTCTCATGTTTTGAGGTTGACTTTGTAGCTTGCTTTAAATCCCATAAAGAATGGAATGTTGTTTCATCAATGACTTTACTATTCAAAGAGGTTCTAACACAGCTAGAGCATACACTTAAGTTATATTTTATATGGCTACATGGTAGCTAAGCTATTTGGTAAGAATTTTCCATTTTTAATTCTTAATGCATTTGAAGAACTTTAAAGAGAATCCAGAATTGTTCTATAGACTTCAGCCAAAAAAAAAAAACACAACTCTTAATGTACAGTAAAAGGATACATTTTCAATATATTTCTTTTATTACAGAAATGACCACACTCAATTTTAGTAGTGTGTTTATGCATCTATTTCTGAGACAGTTATTTTTCTGGGGGCCTGGGTTATATCTTTCATCTTTTATCCTCGATGTCTATCATCGTGCCTGCATATGGCAGGTACTCAATAACTTTGCTGAATGAATAAAAGGCAACAACCTATGGCACGTTTATGATTATGCCTATTTGGCAGCTGACGAAAAGAAGTTTACTAGAATTCATGTGACATCCAAGGTTACAGAATTTGTCAGTACGCAGAACCAGGATTCAATCCTTGATTTTCTACCCAAAGCCACAATTTTTCAACTAAACCACAAAATGCATAGAAGAGGATTTACTGTGTATACTCACAGCTAGACCATGACTAAAAATCTTGTGGCTTCCTGTGTCATTTGCATAAGAAAACTAAAAATTTAAGGAAATACTAAACCTTGTGTCAAATTTGTAAACTGATCTCTAAAGCCAGTTTATTTTGTAAATATAGTAACATATGTCAGAAAACCACTCTGTCTTCCTTTTCTACTAGGAAAGTCTTTATTTTTTCTCAAGAATGACATCTATGCCAAATCTGAATATGACATAGTGTTAATGAAAATCTGTGCATATAAAAATTTAAAATTCCTATTTACATGAGAAAATCATGAAGAATTGGAGATATGCCAAAATAACAAAGGCAGGCTAAATCTGGTCTAATTTCAAAGCAGAAGAGGTAATCAAATCTTAATAAATTAAGATGTGTAGGTATAATTTTATCCCTGGCAAGATAAATGGTCGCAAACATATGTTTTATTAGCATGTGGAAAAAGTAAGTTGATCACATGAAGCCATCATGGGTTCACTTGGAATAGATTCTATCAAAACTCAGGACAATACCATGAGAAAGTGAACCTGACATGTAACATGATCTCTGACATGTAGCAAAATATCCCAGAATCTGTCATGTAGCAAAGTCTAATGCCACATAACACAGTCTCTCATGATATACTTATGAACAAGATGAGGCCTTTGGAATTTGCTACAACAGTGAATAATAGCTGGTGCTGTTACATCATAAGAATAGTTGGTGATATAACAAGGTGTCAACACCAAACTTATTGCTATTAACTCCTTTTTGCCATAACCACTAGGCCAGTGGATCCAGTTCTCCTGGGAACGAAGAGAAATAGCGGAGGAGGGGGGGAAATTTTCAAGAAAATAGCAAAAATATACAGTGAAACTAGCTGCATCAGGGACTACATCCAAACACAGGCACATGAGTCAAATGCAGTTCTAGATGAAATGTCAAGAATCAGAGAAGTATTATCTTTGAAGACTGGCAGGGTTGCAGCTTCAGAAGCACAGCGGGGAAAAGGTAGAATATTTCAATACAGACATGTATTCCACCTAGACACAAGGTGCAAGGGAAAAAAAGGCCAGTTACATCCACTTCCTCCAAACTCCCATCCAAGAAAACTGCTGTCGGATTAAACAGAAAAGTCAGCTCTCCATAATAAAGAAAACACTGTGCTCATCTCCGTACTCACATTGCTAACTGCTTACTCAAACATTTAGACCTCTATCTCATCTCTATACTCATGTATCCAACTGCTTACTCAACCATGTTCACTTGGATGTCTAGCAGGCATCTCAAAATCAGTATGTCTAAAACTGAACTCTGCTTTCCCCCTGAAATTTGCTCCACCCACTGTCCTTCCCATCACAATTCTAACAACTAAATCTTTCCAGTTGTTGATGTCAAAAACCTTGGAGTCATGCTCAACATCCCTTTCATTCATATAACAGCCAATCTGCCAGGAAATCTCATTAGCTCTATATCCAAAATGCACCGAGAATCTGGCTGGTTCCCACTACTGTTATCATCCCCAGCCAAAGCACCAAAAACTTTTCTTGGGACTTTCCAACTTCCTCATAGATGTTCCTGCATCCCAACTTGTTTGCCTCTAATATGTCCTCAGTACAAGAGGCAATGTGATCCTTTTAACACTTCAGTCAGATCATTTCATTCCACTGTCCACTTCATTACCTCTCCATTTCACTCAGAGTAAAATCCCAAAGTCCTACAAAGCCTATAAGCCCACATGGCCTAGTCCCTCATTAATTCTCTGACTTCCTATTACTCTCCTGTCACTGACTCTGCTTGCGGCCAAGGTGCTAGTCTCACTCCCACCTCAGAGCCTTTACTACACTCCTTCTGCCTAGGATTCTAGCACATGATTTTCGTGATTCACTCCTTTACCTCTTTTAAGACTTTTCTCAAACTTCATCTTTTCATTGAGGCCTCTTAGTCACTTAATAGAGCAGTCTGTCCATCCAGCTCCTGGGCATCTCTTATCTCCCTTGCACCGCTACTATGCTTTTTCCCATAGTAATTATGACCTTCTATGAAACTACATTTATTACTTCTTGATTGATTTTAGTGCTTATTACCTATCTTCTTCTGCTAGATAAAGGTCCATGAATGCAGGATTCTTTCTGTTTTCCCAGTGGTGTACTATAGACATTTAGAAGAGTGCTTGCCACATAGTCAGTGGTCAATATATGTTTGTAGAATTAATGCATTTTAGAACTTTTCCACTTATGCCTTGTCCCAGTACCTAGGGTAAGGCAATGAGAGAGCTGCACTCTTTCACCAGGACAGAGAAACTCCTAATATTGAAGAAATCCAAGCAAAGAAGACCAGGACATGAGAACAAGGCAATTCTGGGCTACTTGCCAGCTGAGAGCATCAGGAAAGCTCTTTAACCCTTTGGCCAGGAAGTGCCAATTCTTTCTATCTACAGGGTATAATTAGAAGGATATTTATACAATGCCTGATTGGCTGTTTCTTGGTCTGAAGGCAGAGAACCCTACACTTGCAATTAATTAATATTGCTTTCCAGTAACTGAGATGAAGTAAGGACCGAACCAGATTTGGCAGTATAAAAGATCATTGATTTGTATGTTAATGTCAACCTATTTCCATTTAGCTTTATTCTCATGAAAAGACCGTGGCACACTCACATAAGATAAACTTAGAATGGGATAAAAAAATCTCTCATGACTTCCTACAGTTTTCTAAGAAATGTCTAAAGACTTACCTTCTATCTCTATGAGTCTAACTCATCACTTTTTCAGGTTTCTTCTCCCCACATTGGCTATGGTCCTGGCTGCTTCTCTCTTAGATGCTCCTTGGGCACTGGCCTTGTTCCTTTTGGAACAGGACCTCCTTATCCCTCTCCTTAGATAGCTTCTTAAACATTGCCAAGAGGTACCACACTATCCCTAAGTCATACTGTATATCTGAAATTCTGCCTTATCCAGCCCCAGCTGGATAAGAATAAGAATTTGACAGCCTGGAATAAATATTCCAGTGGTTTCTTCCATCTTTTAATTTGGTCCAGTCCTTTTCAACATCTTCCCTCAATGACTTCTACAATTGCACAAATAACATGTTTGTCAAATTTTTAGGTGACAGTTGATAGAAATAGCTAATATTTTAGATAATAGACTCAAGGCTCCAAAATAACTCAAGCAATTTAATGAATGGGCCAAAATGAAAAAAATGCCTATTTATAGAGATAATTAGGCTGGTGTTTGATACATAGTAGCATTCTATAAATGTTTCTGGAATTATAAAATGAATAAATTAATACAGACTCTTAAACTGAGATTCTAAAAATCAATTGTACAAGGTCAGGATGAGGAATAACCTAAAATAAGAACAGTTTGTGCAACACCAGATTTGCAGATTTATTGGATGCCAAGTGCCTTATGAGTGAGTTCTGTGAGAAAATAGGGCCACTGCTGTTGAGAGCACACCTACAACCAATGTGTCAGTTTGTGAGCTTCACATTTTTTAACCGATTTTGACACATTTGAGAGATACTTGAGAAAAATGATTGCAATATTGAAAGATTACATCTTGACTTATTCAATACTAAGTAATCTTGAATGCCTACTCTGTGATGAGTCTTGAAACAGTCATTAAGGACAAATGGTGTTCATATATGGAGTGACTGATAAAATGGAATATACTGCATATTTTATTATTATATTAAAAAGAATATTACAGCATTTTCATTAATAATATATATTATTGATATAATATATGTCTGTTTTACATGAAAATCTTCCATGTATCAAAATTCCAGTGAAAGCTAGAATGTAATTTTCATGAGAACAAGAAATTATATTTCCATATAATTTCCAATTAAATACAAACTTTAAAATATTTGAGACATAATCTGTATGATCAGCTGTGGTGGCTCATGCCTGTAATCCCAGCACTTTGGGAGACCAAGGCAGGCAGATCACCTGAGGTTAGGAGTTCAAGACCAGCCTGGCCAACATGATGAAACCTTGTCTCTACTAAAAATACAAAAATTAGCCAGACACAATGAGAGGCGCCTGTAATTTCAGCTACTCGGGAGGCTGAGATAGGATAATCACTTGAACCCAGAAGGCAAAGTTTGCAGTGAGCAGAGATCAAGCCACTGCACTCCAGCCTGGGTGACAGAGTGAGACCCTGTCTCAAAATACATATATATATATGAGATATAATCTATATATAGAATACTTTCAAAGTTTTGAAGTTTTCCTGAATCATTAAAATTCTCTTGTTTATACTTTATTTGATGGTAATTCTTTTGTATGCACCTGTATTGAGTTGTTCTGAAGTGTTCAGCGTACTTTCATTGGAACAAAAACTGTCCTTTCTTAGTAATATTTTATTGACTTATAAAATATTTACTCAAATTATATATCTATACTAAGGACTATAACTTGCATAAATAATTTGGTAACTAACACAAGTAACTCTGAAAACATACAACTCTACTCACTGGAACACAAGTATATGAAAGTACTAGTTCCTGATGTCGATCAGAATGTTTACAGAGGGAATGAAGGACAGTATTTAATCCTCTAAATTGGTTAATCTAGTCAATTGATTAAGTGGAAGCTGTTAAAATAATTCTAACTGAACACTACCCCAATCTTCTCAGAGATTCCAGAGGTTTCTCTCTAGAAAATTCACCTCAACATTACAGTCCCCTCCTGAAAGCCCTTTAATCACCTCAAGATAAAACCAAGCTCCATAAACAGAATGATATTTGAGAGATGAAATTTAACTTGTCAAGGGACACTTCCTTCAGGTTATTTTTGATTGAGTTCTGAATATTTTAGAGGAAAATATTAATTATGGAAATAATTGAGGCTTAGATTGAAGTTTGCTGCTCCAAAGAGAATTTAGATTTGCCTCTGGCAGTAGCTAGGGGCACTAACAATGAAACTTGACATTAGGCCATTTATAGTGATTGACTCCCTAGGGAAAAAAAAAACTATTTCTGGTTCACTGTCCCATCTTGAGTGGAGGCCTTAGGGTTCCCAGCTCAAAGCATGAGTGGTTTACTGTGGCTCCCCATCCACAGTGGGCCTTGGACTCACATTTCATCCTCTCAGTTGTCTCTTCCTGGATTGACAGGTGTTCCCAGGTGACAAGCTGCTATACCTGCCAGGCTAACCCCTCTGGGTTTTCTTCTCCCTAATCTGACCCTGATTCTTTAGTGCACTGAGAATGCTTTTATTCCTTCAAACAGATAAGATTGTTTAACATTTTACCCAGTTAAGTGTTGGTTTTCATCACTTATTCCTATATTATTGAAATCATCCCCCCTGATTTCTTCATAAATAAAGAAGAATGAGGCCCCATACTTGAGACCAGAGAACCAAAGCATTATGTCTGCCTCTATTACTTACTAGGTATGTTACCTTGGGCAACTCTGCCGTAGTCTCAATTCTCTACAAAATAAATGCAAGTATTTTATTCATTGATGTATGTACAATTCTTTGAGTTGTTGCATGGAAAAGCATTGTAAATTGTAAAGTACTACTTAATATCTATTTATATTAATATGTGCTCTAAACAATATGTGTGTGTGCTTTAATTGGTTATGATACAGTGTGCAGATTAATTTATCTTTTGTCAATGTCAATTTTTTTGGTCATCCATTTATTTAAATAACATTGATTGCATGCCTTCTCTTTGCTAAAACTGCTACTGGGCCTTGTTGATACAGCAATAACACAAAATAATGCCTCAATCCAACAAAATTCTGAAGGGCTTCCTGACCCCCTTCATGATTATCCCCCACCCCAATTACACAGTTAGTTTCCTGCCACTCATAGTTCCCTGTTATAACCTAACTTCAGGGTATTCATCACAATTTTACTTATATTTTTATTTTATATTACTTATTAAATGTCTATTTTGTCCACTAACCTGTAATACCTTGAAAGTCACTAACATGGCCACATTATAATCTGTAAATTGTTGTTAAATGACGTGAAAGAGATAAATGAATGACTAATTGGAGTCTGGAATGTCTGGTAAGGTTTGGTAGGAGATAAAACTGGAAAGGTAGATGGGGAACAGTTTGTGATGGAGCTCTTAATGTTCTGCTGTGTAATGAAGACTTTATCCTTTAAGCAGGGAGGAACCATGGGAACAGATAATAACATAGACAAAGCCAAGAAGACATAGACATTCAGCTCATTAGAAATGTTGCCTCAGGTCACTAAGTTAGAGAAGGGCAAATCAAAACACCCAGTCTCTTCTTACTTCTTACAACACATGGGATCCTCAATCTGGAGAACTGCTTTGCATCACATAACTTTGTAAGATATTCTTCTAATAGCACTAACTGGGATCAGAACTCTGGAGGGAGGTCCATCTTCTGAGCCAAACCTAGGAGGCAGGAACACTGCAACAAAATGTTTATTTGTTAGTGTAAAAATAATTTTTTAAAAAAATCTTTGAATACATATTTCCATCTATAGCTATGTCATTAGACTAGATTGTAGAATGAATGAGTCTCCTTGGGAACTGAAAGGGTGCATTCCACCACACCTTTATAGAATTATTATACATTAATTTTGTCTTCACTGGTTTCATATATTAAGTATCCTTATAGAAGCCTTCAGTTCTTTGCAGCTCCAATGACTCTTCTTCAGTTCACAATTTTCTGCCATTACCCCTTCTACCCAAAGAGACCAAACAAACAGAAAAAAAATCTGTTCCTCTCCCTTTTGACAGCCCATGAGATATCTGAGATGAGTTCTCATGTCCTGAGACTTCTTTTTACCGGTAAGAGCAAATGCCTCCAACTATGGCTATTTTTCAGAAACAAACAAGTTTATAACAAATGATCCTAAACTCTTTGTAGAATAATTTTAAGTTTGAACATTGGGATTTCCAGAAAAAAAAAAAAAAAGGCTTCTGTCCAACACTTTTCACTGCTGGCTGTATCATAGTTCCTCAGTGGAAAAAAGAATATTCTGTTTCCTGGTGGAATGGAGAATTGAAATCAGAGACTCTGGATAAATAATAACAATTGCAATCATAAAGATCAGAGCTAATATTTGACTGCTTGCTGTGTGCCAGGCATTTTTCAAAGAGCTTAAAGATATTCTACCCATAATCTTCAAATACGCCATGAAGTTTGTACATGAACTACTCTTATACAAAGTTAAATCCACTTGTTTCAAAAAAAAAAAAAGAAAAGAAAGAAAGGGAGAAAGAGAAAGGATAAAGAAAACCTATTTTCAGTAAGTCCTAATAGGCTATGCTATATATCCCTTTACCACTGCTGCTATAACAAATTATCATAAACTAGTGCATAAAACAACAGAAATTTATTGTCTTACAGCTCTGGAGATCAGACTCCAGTATTGGTCTCACTGGGCTAAAATCAAGGTGTCGACATGGCTGCATTTTATTCTGGAGGCTCTAGAAGATAATTTGTTTCTTGCCTTTCCCAGCTTCTAGAGGCCATTTGCATTCCTTGACTCGGGTCACCTCTCTCCATCTTCAAAGTCAGCAACAGTAGTTTTAGTTCCCCCACATTGCATCTCTGATACTTCCTCCATCATCACATGTCTCTCTCTGATTGGGGCCAGAAAATGTTCTCCATTTTTAAAGACTCTTGTGATTGGATCCAGCCCACTGGATAATACAGGAAAAGTTTTCCATCTTAAACTTAAACTATCCAGGAAAACTTTGCCATGTAAGGTAATGTATTCACAGGTTCCTAGAACATCTCTGGGGTGAACATCTCTGGTGTACCATTATTCTGCATAGGATAACCTATATATGCAATTCACTTATTCTTCCCAGCAAATCCTTAAGATAAGTGCAATAGTTATTTATTGTTGTGAAACAAGCTACCTCCAAATTTAAATAGCCTAAAATGACATTTGCTTGCTCACAGTTTTCTTAGAGGTTAACCTGGCTGAGGCTTAGCTGGGCCCTCAGTTTCAGGGTGTCTCACAAGCCTGCAACCAAAGTGTCTGCTTAGGCTGCAGTCTCATCTGAAGGTTCAGCTGGGAATAGATCTGCTTTCAAGCTCACTGCAAGGCTGCTGGCAAGATCCAGTGTCTTGTAGATGATTGACTGAGGGCGTTGGTTCCTTCTAGCTTTTAGTCAGAGAGCACTCTCAGTTCCTTTACATGCAGGTCTCTCCATATGGCACATCCCTTCCTTAGCGTGAGTAAGCAGAGAGAAAGAATGTGTCAGCAAGGTGGCACTCATAGTCTTTTATAATCTAACCTCAAGAGTCCCATTCCATCACTTTTGCCATATTCTATTAGTTAAAAGCAAGTCACTAGATCAACAAGACCAGCCCACATACAAAGAAGAGAAAATACACCATGGAGTGACCATGGTCTGGGGAGCCATTTCAGAAGCAGTCTATCATAGTAGTTGTATCATTTTGCTATTCTGCATGACAAGACACTATGAAACACAGTGGCTTGAAATGAAAATTGTTCTTTCTTATTCACATCTGTGGGTCAACTAGGGCATAGCCAAACATCTCAGATTCAAGCTGCAGTTTCCCCTATGCTTGACTCCTTGCTGTGGAGTGAGTGAAAGTTTGTTTAATTGAAGTTCAGGCTGGGGTGACTGCAAAATCTTAGGGCAATTCTTCTCATGGCAATAGCAGAAGTGCAAGAAGGGAAAAGAACCATGTGATTACTTTTAAGGCCAGGATTGAGTCTGATTGTGTAGTTACTTCCCTCTTCCCTACCCCCAGGTGCCCTATAGGCCAAAGTAAGTCACATGCCTGAAAAAAATAGAAGGATCAGAAGATACATTCTGCCTCTAGTGTAAGCAACTTCAAAGTCACAAGGTAAAGATCAAGGATCCAGGAAGAAGTGAAGAATTGGGGCCAAAAATTCCATCTCCCACAATATTATCACTCACATTTTACTGACAAAGAAATTGTGGTGCAGAGAAACTAGCTGGCTTGCTCAAAGTCACATAACTCAAATTCACGTTTGTCTGACTTCAAAACCCTTTCTTCATTGTTTTATACCACCAGGACTCAAGACATAGTCTCTCTGAATCATTTCCTTCTGAATAAAGGAGTTCACAAATTAGCATCTAAAAATTCCTGTTGCAAACAGTCATCAGAAATTTCACTTTGCTCTTCTGCCTCCTGTTTCACTTTATCGGCCTAAATTTGTAACATGGGCAGGAGCGTGGAGATAAAATAGGTTCTGAAAATGAGAAAATGGATTTTCTTGCCATGCCTTTGCATTACAAATGGGCCCAGTGCACGGCAATCATGACTGCCCCTGGAACAGTGCACAGGCCCATGAATAATCCATGTTCCTTACACACTTGTCTCCCTGCAGTGCTGACTCAGCAACTGCTCTCCTACATTCTGCAAAGTAAAGACAGCATACAGGTCAGATGAAGTCTAAGAGTGCAACAACACTCTGAACGTTTGGTTGAATCCTGAAGGCAGACAAGGGACTTAAAAATCTCATTAGAATTTAACCAGACTGTGATACTTCCCTGAAATGAAGATATTTCATTATCTTCAGGGTTAAATCCAGACTTCCTTATATGGCACACAGGAACCATCATAATATGACCATTGCTTACCTAACCAGAATTTCATTCCCCAACCCATCCCCTGCCCTTCAGCTTGACCCCTTTTTCTGCCTTCCTCATCCTCAAGCCCAGCTATATGAAACTATTCGAACTTCCCAAAAAGAGACCATTGGCATTTGTTGGTCCTTTTTCCTAGAAAGTTATTCTTCCCCTGGGTCAGTAATCTATATTAAATTTTTTCTTTCTGAAATAGCTCAGGGGCTCCTTTGCACAGAAAACTTTTCCCAACTTTACCCTTTCCCTAACACCTAGCTCACTTGGGCTTAGGAGCTTCTTGTTTAGGAAATATTTTGTGCTTCTACCGTAGTCCTTCTTAACCTATAATAGAATCACCTATTTATTCGTCAATCTCACAAACATTAAGCTCTTTGAAACTAACAATATTTTGGCTCTGAATGCACATCGTTCTTGGCACGTTGCCCAGTAGTCATTACATGATTGCAAAAATAAAGAATGGAAAGGGGAAAGAAGGGAAGTAAGGGAAGAGAAGGGGAGAGGAAGGCACGGAGGGAAGAGAAAAGAAGGGAAGGGGAGGAGAGGAGAGGAAAGGGGATGGGAGGAAAGGGGAGAGAAGGGAAGAGAACTGGAGGAAAGGGAATAGAAGAGGGGAGGGGAGGAAAAGAGAGGAAGAGGAGGGGATGGGAATGGAGGGGAGGAAGAAAAAGGAAGAATAGAAAAGAATTAAAAAGGGAGGTAAGAAGCAAAAGAGGTAAGAAAAAGTGATAAGAGAGAAGGAGAGAAGGAAAAATGGAAGAAAGAGGAAACAAGATCATATTTGAGAAGATATTTTGTAAATTTCACATTGCCTCATATAATCAGGAGCTCTTTTCTTCTCACGTGCAATAAGCTAACATACAAGGCTAGCTACTCTTAGGGAAAGCCTGTTTTTTCTTAAATCCTTCGACTCCAGCATATTAGACCCACCTACATCCTCTGTAAACTTACGTGAGTGAACTTTGTAAAGAATGTTGCCTCTTATCCAGCTTCTCCATGTGCTCCAGTGTAATCAATAATCAATCCAGAGAGCAAATTAATGTTAAATACAGTTTGAAGAATGGTGGAAAAAACAGTGGGGGAGGATTAGCAGAGAGCTTTCCCAGACTTGTAGTCTCCTGGACTGTAGGCTGGTTCAAAGATTATCAGAACCTGCAGGGTAGGAGGGCCCTCCAGAAATAGAGTTCTCATTGCTGCTATAAAAATTGGGCCCCTGTATGAATAGAAACAAGAGTGTCTAGATAATAGTTCCAAATGCCTATTGCTGCTCTTTGCACTTCAACACCATGACTGACTGACTATGATTTCTTGATCGTTTTGAAGTTGTCTTTGCACCTTAATAATTCCACTTTCCAAATTGTACCTGAGACATTACCATACCCAATAAGACTCTCAATTAAGAGCCTTATCAGGCATGGTAATGTCTCAGGTACAATTTGGAAAGTGGAATTATTATAACTTTAATATAATTGCTTAGAGCATACATCCTTGGAAAGAATAGTTCATATACAAGATATATAAAATATGTTCTAGGATTATTTTTTACAGTCACTATAATAAGGGCTTTTTCTATTTTCCCTCCCACCACGCATCCCCAAAAAATCAATAACTTTAGACTAAAAGTCTGGAAGTTTTGCTCCTTTAAGAAAATAGCTTATTTCATTTTTTTCCCCTGTAAAATCACCGCAATATTTAGCTGGGGAGGGGAGATGCAACTGTTATGATTTAGAGTTGCTGAGCTTCTGACCCTTGTCCTGGCTAAAACAGTGTTTGGATTTGAGTAGAAATAGCAAGAAACCTAGAGCAACTTATTAGCTGAAACTCTGAGCCTCAATATTTTTTCATTTATAAATAGTCCAATGAAAGTAACTTACATTTCACTGGCCTATTGTGAGAATCTAATTAAATTTGATGGATAAAAAGCAAGGCAAAAACTAAACTATTCTGTATTGCTGGGGAATTATGAACTAATATTATTGTTACAGCCTAAAATTAGTTGAAAAGCACGAGAAAACAGAGTATATGTGGTGCATTAATCTACTTGGGCTACTATAACAAAATACCACAGACGGAGTGGCTTAAACCATAAAAATTTATTTTCTTACCATTCTGGAGGCTGGATGTCCTAGATCAAAGCCCAGCAGAACTCAGTTTCTGGTTGGTGCACTCTTCCCAGCTTGCAGACACCCCGTTTGTCTTCATATGGTATATTAGTCCATTCTTGCAGTGCTATAAAGAAAAACCTCAGATTGGGTAATTTATAAAGAAAAGAAGCTTAGTTGGCTCACATAGGCTGTACGGGAAACATGATGATGGAATCTGCTCAGCTTCGGGGAGGCCTCAGGAAGCTTACAGTCATGCCAGAATGTGAAGGGGGAGCAGGCATGTCACAGGGCCAGAGCAGGAACAAGAGAAAGTGAAGGGGGAGGTGTTACATATTTTGAAATATGGCCAGATATCATGAGAACTCACTCTTGTGAAGACAGTACCAAGGGGGCTTGTGCTAAATCATTCATGAGAAACCTGCCCCCATGACCCATGCCCACCTGCAATATTGAGGATTACATTTTGACATGAGATCCAGTTAGGGGCAACATTCAAACCATATTACATGGCCTTCCTTCTGAGTGCACACAGATGTGTTCCAGTGTCTCTCCATTTTTTGATATGTGTACCAGCTTTCTCAGACTAGGGCCCCATGCTTATGACCTCATTTAAACTCTACCACCTCCTCATGGCCCTGCTCCAAATACATTCACATTGGTTGTGAGGGCTTCACCTATAATTTTGGGGGTGGGGGCAGGTACAAACATTTAGTCCTTAATGCATGAGTTACCAAAAAGACTCCTCTTTGAAAGTTATTTTTTATCACAAACAGAAATCAGACACAACTTTGGATTACAATTATCATACTTGGGGCTGATTTTAAATGTCAGCTTTTGGGGAATGACAGACACTGGGGACTACTTGAAGGTGGAGGGCGGGAGGAAGAAGAGAAGCACAAATGGTCATTATTGGGTACTGGGATTAATACATGGGTGACAAAATAAGCTGTACAACAAACCCCTATGACACAAGTTCGCCTATGTAACAAACCTTCACATGTACTCCCAAACATAAAATAAAAATGTCTTTAAAAAAATAGAATGAATGGTGTTGGGAAAACTGGCTAGCCATGTGCAGAAAGCAGAAACTGGACCCCTTGCTGACACCTTACACTAAAATTAACTCCAGATGGATTAAAGACTTAAACATAAGACCTGGCACCATAAAAACCCTGGAAGAAAATCTAGGCAAAACCATCCAGGACATAGGAGTAGGCAAGGACTTCATGAACAAAACACCAAAAAGCCAAAATAGACAAATGGGACCTAATGAAACTCCACAGCTTCTGCACGGCAAAAGAAACAGTCACTAGAGTGAATCGGCAACCGACAGAATGGGAAAAAAATTTTTGCAGTTTACCCATCTGACAAAGGGCTGATATCCAGAATTTACAAAGAACTCAAACAGATTTACAGGAAAAAAACAAACAAGCCCATTCAAAAATGGGCAAAGCATATGAACAGACACTTTACAAAAGAAGACATATATGAGGCCAACAATCATATGAAAAAATGCTCATCATCACTGGTCATTAGAGAGATGCAAATCAAAAGCACATTGAGATACCATCTCACGCCAGTTAGAATGGCGATCATTAAAAAATCTGGAGACAACAGATGCTGGAGAGGATGTGGAGAAAAAGGAACACTTTTACACTGTTGGTGGGAGTGCAAATTAATTCAACCATTGTGGAAGACAGTGTGGCGATTCCTCAAGGTCTTAGAAATAGAAATTCCATTTGACCCAGCAATCCCATTACTGGGTATATATCCAAAGGACTACAAATCGTTTTATTATAAGGACACATGCACATGAATGTTCATTGCAGCACTGTTTACAATAGGAAAGACCTGGAACCAACACAAATGCCCATTGATGATAGACTGGATTGGGAAAGTGTGGCACATATACACCATGGAATATTATGCAGCAATCAGAAATGATGAGTTTGTGTCGTTTGTAGGGACATGGATGAATCTGGAGAACATCATTCTCAGCAAACTGACACAAGAACAGAAAATGAAATACCACATATTCTCACTCATAGGCGGGTGATGAAAAATGAGAACACATGGACACAGGGAGGGGAGTACTAAACACTGGGGTCTATTGGGGGAAAAGGGGAGGGCCAGCAGGGGGGGCGGAGCTGGGGAGGGATAGCCTGGGGAGAAATGCCAAATGTGGGTGAAGGGGAGAAAGGAAGCAAAACACACTGCCATGTGTGTACCTATGCAACTGTCTTGCATGTTCTGCACATGTACCCCAAAACCTAAAATGCAATAAAAAATTCAAAAACATAGAATGAAATGAAATGTCAGCTTTTCAGCCAACAAACATATGAAAAAATGCTCAGCATCAGTAATCATTAGGGAAATCCAAATCAAAACCATAGTGAAATACCATCTCACACCAGTCAGAATAGCTATTATTAAAAAGTCAAAAATAAAAGCTGTTGGTGAGGATGCAGAGAAAAGGGAATGCTTATACACTGTTGGTGGGTATGTAAATTAGTTCAGTCACTGTGGAAAGGAGTTTAGAAATTTCTCAAAGAATTAGAAATGAAACTATCATTCAACCCAGCAATTATATTATTGGGTATATATCCAAAAGAAAATGAATCATTCTGCCAAAAAGACACATGACCTTATATGATGTTCATAGCAACATAGCACTAATCACAACAAGAAAGGCATGGAATCCACCTAGATGCCTGTCAATGATGGATTAAAGAAAATGTTGTACATACACACCAGGGAATATTATTCAGCCATATAAAATCATGTTCTTCGCAGCAACATGGATGCAGCTGAAGTTACCCTAAGTGAATTAACAGAAAAGCAGAAAATCAAATACCACATCTTCTGACTTATAAGTGGAAACTAAACAATGGGTACACACAAACATAAAGATGGAAACAGTAGACACTGGGGACCACAGAAGGGGAGAAGAAGGGAGAGTAGAAAGGGTTGAAAAGCTACCTATTATGTACTGCATTCACTATTCGGTTGATAGGTTCCATAGAAGCCCAAACCCCAGCATGATGCAATATAATTATGTAACAAACCTGCACATGTACCATCTAAATCTAAAATTAAAAAAAATTTTTTTTTGAAAAATAAAATGCAAGCTTTTCAAAGAAGTCTCCTCTGCTGCCCTCTCAAGACTAATCCCTTCCCCTCCTTGAACCTGCTGGAACCCTTCTCTTTAATAGCACTTAATTCATTATAATTTGTCTTTGTCTCTTAGGAGGAATAAAGATTTCTCTGAGTCAAAAGACAGTTTTCCTCTCAATTTTACATAACCATATTACTGAGGATTCTCAATATGGTGTGGTAAAAACACGAATATATTTTCCTTTTTTGTCATTAACACCTTCAACCACATTCTGACAGATCATTCTTTCCAATTTCTTTGCAACATCTTGGGCAGATCTTATCATTTCTAATCATTTTTCATTACTAAGTGAGCAATTTAAAACTTTAATCTCAAAATTGATTGCAAACTCATCCATTCCCTCTTTTCCCAGCTGAAGTCTTGTGCTGTGATGCTGGCTTATCAGAATAAAGGATCAGAGATGAGGCTGTGTAGACTTAGCTATGTGATTTAGGCAGGAAAACTACATGGATTCACACAGGATATGCAATGCTCAACCCTAGAGAGCAAGATTCATGTGGTATACCATGTTAACTAGTCTCCCTACAGTTGCCCAGTACACAATTTTCACAACCATATAAGAAAGCTCTGAATTGTATATGCAAAGCTTTTATGCATGACTGTGTAAGAAAACCTTGTATTCTTTTTTTTTTTTTTTTTTTTTTTTGAGATGGAGTTTCGCTCTTGTTACCCAGGCTGGAGTGCAATGGCGCAATCTCGGCTCACTGCAACCTCCGCCTCCTGGGTTCAGGCAATTCTCCTGCCTCAGCCCTGTACTCTTATATTTGCTTTTCCAAGTATAACAAGTATAAGTACTCCAGAGTTTAATAAAGATCCAAAAAAATAGGGAAAATCAAAGTCTACTTGTATAAATGGTTACCTTATAGAAAAGAGAATCCATCTCTGATCTTATCTATGCTATAGACTGAATGTTTTTGTTTCCCCAAAGTTCTTAAATTAAAATTTAATCCCCGTGATGATGATACTAGAAACTAGAGCTTTGGGAAGGCTATGCCCTCATAAATAGGATGAGTGCTCTAATAAACGTGATCCCAGAGAGCTCCCTGGCCCCCTCAGCCATGTTGAGGACGAAGCAAGACTATGGCTGTCTGTGAACCAGGTAGCAGGCCCTCATCAGACACCTGATGAGGTGCTTTGATCTAGGACATCCCACCCTCCAGAACTATGAGGCATATGTCTGTTGTTTATAAGCCACTCCATCTATGGTAGCTTGTTACAACAGCCCAAATGAATTAAGACACGTTGATTTTGTCTGTTTATCTTCTCCTGGTGATGTCTACAAATAATTACAACAATGACAAGTATACAACAATTACAATGTATTATTATACATTGGATAATGTTTCTTTAAAACTCACTACCATATTTCATAAATTCTAATATATGCTCTTTCAGGCATCAACATTTCTGAAATAGCAATGTGATTTTTCAATAAATGGTCTATCATAGTTTGATTGTAAGCATTTTTCGCCTCCCTTAGTGGTACATAAACCAACGATGAGTCCAACCAACACTGGCATCTTTGAAACAATAAAATATAGAATGTGCAAGAGACTGTTTTAAGTACTTCACTCATACTAACTTGCCTAATATTCAGAGCAATACTGCAAGATCAGCTATGAATATTATTCCATTTTACTGATGACGAAACTGTGACAAGGAAGATGATATATTAGTTTATTCTCACACTGCTATAAAGACATACTTGAGACTGTGCAATTTATAAAGAAAGAAGTTTAATTGGCTCACCATTCTGCTGCTGTACTGGCTTCTGCTTCTGAGAAAGCACCAGGAAACTTACATTTATGGCAGAAGATGAAAGGGGAAGCAAGCATGTCTTACACTGTGGGAGTGGGAGGAAGACAAAGAGAAGGGGAAGTGATACACCGTTTTATAAACTACCAGGTCTTGTGAGACCTCATTCACTATCATAAAAACAGCAAGGGGAA